TAACTTCATTTGGTATCAATTAATTGCACTGCTAGATCTGATTAATTGAAAGCTGGGAACAGTGGTATCATGGACTGCATGACAATTAACAGCAATGATAGTTTGATAAGCACTTGGAAAATGTTTAATGGCTTTCCTTCAATTTAATTGATGGCTGAATTTTCATAAACCCAGCTGTACAATTATGTGAGGAATAGGTCAGAAAGGCCATTAAGATTCCGGTGTTCTCATGTTCCTTGTATTATTCCTAAATTAAAGGAAGGTACTACGTCAGGAACATTATATACACTATGGCTACGTCTACACTGGCCCCTAAAAACGGAAAAGGGATGCAAATCAGGTAAGTCAGCATAGGGAAATCCGCGGGGGATATTTAAATCCCCCGCGGATTTAAATAAACATGTCCGCCGCCTTTTTTCCGGCTTTTCCCCAAGCCGGAAAAAAGGCGGCAGACATGTTTATTTAAATCCGCGGGGGATATTTAAATCCCCCGCGGATTTAAATAAACATGTCCGCCGCCTTTTTTCCGGCTTTTCCCCAAGCCGGAAAAAAGGCGGCAGACATGTTTATTTAAATCCGCGGGGGATATTTAAATCCCCCGCGGATTTAAATAAACATGTCCGCCGCCTTTTTTCCGGCTTTTCCCCAAGCCGGAAAAAAGGCGGCAGACATGTTTATTTAAATCCGCGGGGGATATTTAAATCCCCCGCGGATTTAAATAAACATGTCCGCCGCCTTTTTTCCGGCTTTTCCCCAAGCCGGAAAAAAGGCGGCAGACATGTTTATTTAAATCCGCGGGGGATATTTAAATCCCCCGCGGATTTAAATAAACATGTCCGCCGCCTTTTTTCCGGCTTTTCCCCAAGCCGGAAAAAAGGCGGCAGACATGTTTATTTAAATCCGCGGGGGATATTTAAATCCCCCGCGGATTTAAATAAACATGTCCGCCGCCTTTTTTCCGGCTTTTCCCCAAGCCGGAAAAAAGGCGGCAGACATGTTTATTTAAATCCGCGGGGGATATTTAAATCCCCCGCGGATTTAAATAAACATGTCCGCCGCCTTTTTTCCGGCTTTTCCCCAAGCCGGAAAAAAGGCGGCAGACATGTTTATTTAAATCCGCGGGGGATATTTAAATCCCCTGCGGATTTTCCTATGCTGACTTACCTGATTTGCATCCCTTTTCCAGAATTTGTGGCCAGTCTAGACGTAGCCTATTTGTATATAATGTTACATGTGTAAAGTGATTTGAGAGCCTTTCAGATAGAGAGAACTACATTAATGTGTTTTACTAAGCATGGGCTAACATATTGAGACAATCTTATTTCACATGAACCATAAAATATTCATGAAATGGTAACTCTGCAACTGTTAGTTACTGCTGACCTGGGTTGGAGATGAACAACTGACCCTTGGGTTAAAGACCCTTTACCTCCAGTGCTTAGTACTAAGAATCCCTAATTCTTTCTGATTTCAATAAGGGTATGTCTACACAGCAAAGTTATTTCGAAGTAACAGCCTTTATTTCGAAATAAATTTACTAGAGTCTACACACGCCAACCGCTATTTTGAAATTAATTCCATGTAGAGGAGGGCTTTTTTCAAAATTGGTAATTTTTCAAAAGAGAGGGCCTCCAGTCCTTCCCAGGGTGCCCTCCTGGCCACAACCAAGAAAACTACTCTTCCTCCTCCCCTTCCCAGAGCCCTTAAAGGGGTAGAGTCTGGCCACAGTGCCTGTGCCAGCTCCAAGCCTGGCAGCTCCCGCACCCGAGGGCTCTGCAGGACTGCCCATGCAGTGGAGGGGTACCAACAGCAGCACCTGGGGGCACTGCGAGCCCTGCACTGCACCCTCAAGCACTGGGTGCAAGAAGAGCTGCAGCTCCGGCAGGAGCAGCTTGCCCAGGGCCGTGCCATCTGCCCAGGGCCGGACTAAGGGGTGGGCAAGCCTGGCAGCTGCCCAGGGTGCCAACCTATGGGGGGCGCCTGATGGCAGCTGTAAGGGGCACGCAGCATCCCTTATAGCTGCCATCGGGCACCACGTGCCCGGCTCCCGAAGCGCCAGCCACCCCATCCCTATGATGCCGGCCAGCAGCGCCCTTTCCCCCATGGCTGCAGGGCCCTGCACTGCCAGGTGTGGCCTGCTCCGGGCTGCGCGCCAGCAGTGGTGGCTGGGGTGGGCATGGGCCGTGCACCCAGGGGCGGCGCTGTGTGCCCAGGGGCAGCGCCGTGCGCCCGGGCCTGGGGCACCAAAATGGCTCGGGCCAGCTCTGCATCTGCCAGCTCCTGCAGACCCTGGTGCAGAGCATGCTGCCTCCTGCCACTGCAGCACCTGCTGCATCCTCAGCTACCGCTCCTCTTCCCACTCCTTCTCCTCCTCTCACTTCTTCCTCCACACCCTCCATGCCCTTCCCCACCCTCCCCATCCTCCCGGGGATACTGAATCTCCCGCACCCGCGATGCTGGGAGACAGTTGGCCCAGCGAGACCCTCAACACTGAGCTTTGGGGTTCCACTCCTCCTCCTTCCCCTTGCTTCCCCCTTCCAGTTCCCTCCTCCTAGGTTTCCCCCTCACCTTTCCCACGGTCTCTCCTTTCCCCAGTCCCACCAGAGTTTCATTCTCTCTCCCCCATCCCCCCCATTCAGTTTTGTTAAATAAAGAGAGTTTGTGTTCATGAAAATACGTGTATTTTATTTGACATCAGGAAGGGGGGTTAGGGAGGGGTAAGTGGAAGGACGTGAGGGAGGAATGAGGCATAAGCCCTCAGTGGGGCAGACCAGGGAGACTCTTTGTGCTCCTCAGGGTGGAAGCTCTCCTGTAGGGCCTCCTGTATACTCATAACCCCCTGATGGACCTCCCGGATAGCAGCCTGCAGAAAGTGTAGCCAGGCTCACAGCAACGCACCCAAGAGAAGCACCAGAGTGCCCAGGGGCAGCTCTGTCTCCATGTTGCAGAGTGATGTGGTGTCCCAAGTGAGAGGAACCAGAGCACACAGAGACAAAAATGCTTTGCTGTCTCTCATCGAGGTAGGCAAGCAAGCAGGGAAAACTGAGAACCGGCTGTCCGGAGGAGAGGGGGTCCCTTTAAGCACAGGCCTCAGGCAGCAGTGACACAAAGTAACTCCTGACCTGATGCCTCGTCGAAACTGGTTCCAGCCGGCCTTAAATACAATTCAGTGTGGACACGCTATTTCAAAATAGCCAAATGCTATTTCGAAATGCATTTTGTGGAGACGTGTTATTTCGAAATATCTTATTTCAAAATAATTATTTCGAAATTAGATATTTCGAAATAACGCTGTAGTGTAGACATACCCTAAGACTTTATAATTAAATATTAAATTGCTGCTCTTAGAATTCAGTGCTGATGTAATAATAAACCATTTTTAGTGGCAACCCAATGATGCTGTTAAATAGCAGTTACCTCACCTTAATCATTATAAAACAGAGGCCAAATCCTCCCCTCAATTACATCCAGTGAGACCAACAGCCACTGAGGTCTCCAGGGCAAGGTATTGGGGGCGGGGGGGCGGTGCTGGGCCTCCAGAAGGAGCAGGACCTCAGGCAGAAGGGCAGCATGGGGCCAGCCAGCCCTCAGGGCCACAGTACTGCACTCTTTCATCCCTCAGAGCCATGTGGAGCCATGCTTCCGTTCTTTGGCTGCAATTCAAAGTGGCACAAAGCTCTGGCCACCACCACTGCTACTGTGGCTGCAGGGAAGCCGAAGCCCCAGGCCCCTCTGAATCACCTGGTCCCGGAGCACTTTGCCCCCCTGCCATTGGAGGCCTGGATACATCCCATGCAACTCCAGTCAATGGCAATATTAATTGATATCTGTCTTTGCCTCACAAAAGCAGAGTAAAACATCCCAAAATGTGTCAGTGAATCTAACCCAACAGGTGTGTAACCACGACAGAATTTGTCCCTCATATCTTATATGTTGTGCCGCACACTCCTAGGATTAGAAACCAAGGTGCTAGGAATTTTGCAGATTTGACAGACACATAGAGTTTCATGAGTGAAAAATCAGTGGGTTATAGAATTACACAAATCCAGATCCTAACCCATGTAGTTGTGGTTTAATTGCAGAAATTAAAAAATCTATACCAGCTGAGCTCTGTTAATCAATTACAAAGGGCAACTTGAAATGAACAAAGCTATTATAAACCAAATTATAGTCTTGTTTTTGGTAGCTTTCTTGGCAGCAATAGCAAATAGTTGCCAAGTAGTAATGATTTCACAAAGTTAAATATAGGAAAGGGGGCGCTAGTAGACTATGTATCAGAGTATTCAGTGGAAATTAATTTGTCAATTTGTGGATCATCAGCATGGTATTTGAATTAGTATCAATGGTCCAGCATGTACTGGCATGAATCACTGATGCCACTTAAGTTACAAAAGGTGTAAAACTTGTATGAGAAGAAAATCGCTCGTGGTCCCATTGGCTTTGCCATTAACTCTAGTGGAATCAGGATCCAGCCTTTGGTCCACAGTACTCTGAAATTGCTTAACCATTTTTCTGTCACTGCTTGAGCCCAGTTGTCCTTACTGCTATGTCCTTACTGATATGTTTGATTTCTCACAATATAATTGTTTAATCACAAATGTTATGAGAATAATATATTTTATAGCATCTTTCATTGGAAGGGATCTCAAATGATCTAAATCATTATATTGTGGAATTATACTGTGGAATATATGTAGATTCATTACACAGTGGAATTCTGCAGGGAGTACTCATTAAAGACACTGTTCATATTTTAGGGAATGCTGGATTCTCTTGAACTTTTCAGTGAAAGGAAGGATATGAATGTCTTTGCATAGCATCCACATTTCTGTAACTTCAATGGAGCTGTGCCACTTCATACCAGCTAAGGATCTAGTCTATTATTTTTAAGTTGACAGTGTCTCTATAAAAATAATATTTGTCCTATTAGCAAATCCCTGATTTTTTGTGTGTGAACTGAAGCATCACATGCAGGGACTCATATTCTTAGAATGGCCCTCTTTTAAACTACATATTTAGTTGCCTTATTAAAATAACACCAAGGTTTTGCAAGTTAATGGAAATTATCATTTAAAAATGCAAAGAAAATATACCTAAGCTTAAAACTAGGCAGACTGTAGGCTCAATACACAGGGAACCCACCTTGGAACTCTGTCATGCACAAGACTTTGGCACATATGTCTCCTGTCCTTATGGATGCCAAAAGGGCTGCAGCATGTCTTTGTGGAAATGGAAGCTCTTCCTCTCACTACTCTTTTTACTATTTTTCAGCAGTGCCTTAAAACCCCAATCATGTTGGCAGCTCAGCTGTATGAGAAACCAAATATACTTCCGGCTTGGGAAACAGCCAAATCTGAAACAATAATAGGAACATTTGGGAAAAGGCACATAAAATAGAAGGACAAACATTAGTACAAAGAACCTCTAAACTAAGCCCAGCCTATGTGGTGTCATGTTGAATTTAACAAGTGATGGGGTTTTCAGAAAGAATCAAAGGTGACAGAAATAAGCGTTTTGTGAAATCTATAACAAGGATCAAGCATGGTTACATAATAAAGCTCGCGTTCTGGACTTGCTTTAGGTGAAGAACAATATATGTAGATGCAAAAATTCATATCCTGCAGTGTGCTGAGCACGTCCTGTGAACCTGTAAATTCTAAGGCATCCTTTACTGTAGTAAATGCAGATTCCAGGGACCTGCAGCACACGGCAGGAGGTGCTTCCTCCGCTCTCCCCACCCCCCCCCCCACC